TATTTGGTAGACTAGACAGAAAGGCAAATGGAAAGACTAAAGATCAATCTAGGTTTCTGGTTTATAGATTATTATAGGTGTTAGAGGTACCATTCACCAGGGATGGGCACACAGGAAGAGCAGGTAACTGTCCAGGGATCATTTGTTGTTGTTGTTGTGAATGGAAGAAGACTGGTATATATCTTCATTTCTCTTTAAGTTTTTAAATATGGAGCTAAAATACAAATTTTGCCAAATTCACTTTTCTAGCCTATTAGTTCCCAGACCCCAAAGCCGTAACTCATCACAGAATCTTTTATAAGGTAGTTCTCTGATCAATAGAGCTCATCAATTAGACCTTGTGGTTTATTACTTATTCTGAAATACAATTAATGTGCAGTATATGAAATCTTTAATAGAGGTTATACGATTCAAACCAAGCTTTTCCTTTTAACAGGGTTAGAATATTTTCAATAATCCAAAAATACTCTCTGTTTAAATAAGAAACTACATATCCATCTTAGCTTAAATTTGCAACAGCTCTTTGATGAAGACAGAGTGGGTTCTGATATCTGTGGTTATAGTGGAGAGAACACATCTAACAGGCTTGTGACATGGCCAGGGTGACCCACGAGCAGAGACATTGGCTCTGAATCTCAGTCTTTCCTGTCCTACTCTGGGGCTCATTCCTCTTCCATACGATCTGCAAAGGGCATGCCCAGATGTTGAATTCAGCAAAGATGCATCTCATTGACCATTAGAAATCCAGCACTATCACTACCGTCATTATTTTTTTGCCTTGAAAAGTTTGCTGCTCTGACCAGTCTTCTGACAGGTGTAATTCTCCTTATAGTTTAAAGCAAAATACATTAAAAAAATGCATTTAAAATGCCATCGACGGTGTTTGTAAAAGTGTTTTCCCTCAAATGAACTTTAGAGCCTGGTGCACCAACAAACTGCCCACCACTGGGAATGCATTCTAATAAAAGCGCATGCATTATGGCTGTGAGAATACTTGAAACAGCATTTGCATCTGCTACAAGACTTACAATGTAATGGATTTCTAACTAATTAGCATGATTTCCCAGACTGAATTATCCCACATGTAGGAGTAGCTGGATATAAAAATAAATTTGATTATAATATGCATAAATTGCTCATTTCTTACAGAATTATGGCTTTTTCTTAAGTGAATGCCCAACTTCCCCAAATTGTCAATGAAAATGTATTTCCAAATGGCTGCTCTTTTTGGGTCTGTGCTGCTTTCCGGGAGTTTGGCTACTCGTGGCAGCTGCTTTGTTGGAACATGACATGCACAGCACATCAGGCAATGAGTGTGACCTACATTCAGGATGTTTATGAGTTCTGCAGAAATTGGGTAATTTCACTCACCGTTTTGTTCTTCTGCTGATGTGAGAGGTCTTGAACATCATTTTGGGCAATAAACCCCTGGATGCTAAGAAAAAAAAAAAAAAAAAAAAAAAAGCACAGTATTTACAGAAGAATAAGATTAAAAGGTACAAATCCACTGTAGTGTATTTCTCCCAGTTCTATGCCAGGTTTTGTTAGAATGGTATAAAATCAACGACAAACACACTCCTCTACTCCTCGGAGCTGCCATAATGACTCATACACAAGACAATTATAGAACAAAACAAGGCAGAATAGAACCAAATGCCAAATGACAGACAACCAGTAGTATATTCTCCAATTCAGAAAATGTATTTGCTATAATTGCAAATGTATAGCACTTAATCTGGGAAAGAAACAAGGTAAGATTTGGATGGCTGGAATGTAGAGGAGACATTCCACATCTGTAACCTAGTATGAAGGTAAGAAAAGCATCATTCTTTCATGTACAAATTCATCCATGCATTACAAGTTGCTATTACATGAGAACTGTCATAATTCTGTTTGTGTGATGTGTCATTATGTTTAATATCCCATATGCAGTTTGTTAATAGGTGTTATACACACAAAGTGTTTCTTTGTCAAATATGTTTGGGAAGCAATGGGTAAACAAAATTAGACACGAATATTTCAAAACTTCTCAGTATTCAGTGTTCTTCATTTTCCTTAAATGAGAAAGAACTTTGTTTTAAATTTCAAACTTAATAGATATTCAAAAAAAATTTTTAAATCATACACTGCTGGACATGGTGGCTTAATCCTGTAATCGTAATATTTTGGGAGGCCAAAGCAGGAAGATCACTTGAGTCTAGGAATTTGAGACCAGCCTAGGCAATAGTGAGAGCTCACCTCTATTAAAAAAATAGAAAAATTAGCCAGGCATGGTGGTGCATTCCTGTAGTCCCAGCTACGTGGGAAGCTGAGGTGGGAGGATCACTTGAGTCTGGGAGGTTGAGGCTGCAGTGAGCCATGATCATGCCATCCCACTCCAGCCTGTGCAACAGAGCGAAACCCTATTTCAAAAATAAAAAATAAAAAACAAAAGAGCAAAGCTTTCACTTAAGCAAAATAACCTATATATGAGAAGAGGGTAGAGAAAGTTTACGCTGTTAATGAAAATTTGATGTCCCCTCCCATTAATTCCAAATTACAGTAATGTAACACCAACACTTAGTGACACCTACTTACCTACTTTGCACCAGGCACTGTGGTATGGTACATGCTGAACTTGCATATTGTACAGCTATCACCACAACTTTCTTTTCTTTCTTTCTTTCTTTTTTTTTTAGAGTCAGAGTCTCACTCTGTCGCCCAGGTTGGAGCGCAGTGGTGTGATCTCGGCTCACTGCGACCTCCGCCTTACTGGTTCAAGCAATTCTCCTGCCTCAGCCTCCCAAGTAGCTGGGACTACAGGCACATGCCACCACACCCGGCTAATTTATTTTGTATTTTAGTAGAGACAGGGTTTCACCGTGTTGCCCAGGCCGGTCTTGAACTCCTGAGTTCAGGCAATCTGCTGGCCTCAGCCTCCCAAAGTGCTAGGATCACAGGCGTGAGCCACCGCGCCCAGCATCACCACAACTTTCTAGATTAGCTATTGCTATTCCTATTCACAGATGAGAAAACTAAGGCTCAGAGATATTAAGAATTTTGCAAAGGGTTGCACAGATTGTATTTGACAATTTGGTAAATCATGTTTTGTATCATTCATTCATTGTTCTGTGTATAAATCACAGGAATGAATATTCTAAGAGTAAGGATGAACATGGTCAAGAAGTTTAATACAAGTGATAGTTGAACACCCATCCACAGACAAGTTCAATCAATGTTTATAGATAAAGAAGGTAAGGCATTGCTTTTGTCCAATAGGAGACACGTGCAAGGACTAAGGAAGGTTGCTTCTCGTTCACCTTTTCTTAGGGGGTTATGTAAGGATATGATTCAGACAATGAAGAATTGCTCAAAAAAGAGAAAAACTCTGGATCCAAGAATAAGCAGACCCAGCAAGATCAAACAATGAAAAGAGTTCTTGTATTTATTATTACCACTCCAATTCTAAATCTAACTTTGGAATTCTAGCCCCAGATTTGAAGTTGGTGGAGAGCAGATTCTGCTTATCTCTTGACCTGCTCCAATCTCTTCTTCCCCAAACTATAAATATTTGGTATTTTGTTGGTAGTTATAGAATAAAGTCACCTTCTCTTACTTATCTCATAATATATTGGTTCTCATAAATCCCAACTAACTACTAGAAGCCCCGGTTGAAACTTGAGGTTGGAGCACAAAGTAGGTTCTATAAAAACCTAGGGACCCCATTTATAACATAGTAGGGCTAAAGTTAGTGCTCCATGGGACAGAAGGGAACACAGTTAATCAAATGCTCTTTGTTTTCAGAACACCAGTACCTCTTCTTCCAAATCAGCCCTGGCAAGCATGAATGAATAGTTGGTCCTTTAGCGGGCCTCAGCAACAAAGCCTAAAGAGAAATTTGCCTTCAGCGTGGAGTGGGCGGTCACAATCGCTGTGTAATTAGTGGTGACCAGCAGGAAGTTCAATTGTGTTTTTCACATGGTCTGAAGAAGCTGCTTTGCCCTCATTCAACTAACCCAATAGGGAGTGTTGGACGTAAAAAATCAACTGATTCCCAAATCCCATTTTAATTATTTGTTGTAGGCCCCAGTGGCCAATTTCATCAGAGAGTTTGTTCCATTTGGGTGAGAACGCTTATTCAGAATACCATGGAGACTTATTTCCAGAGATGGCAAAAAATGTGTGTTCCTGAAATGAAACCTTTCCATTATTTGCAGAAAATATAAAGGCACTGCTTCTATTAACTTTCCAGCTATCACTGATTTCATTTAAGCCAAAATATTAGATTTAGTCTATTCACAATACTGTAATCACAGCATAGTTATTGCTTTGAATTGCTGGTATTTCTACCTACTTCATTTTAGTACTTAATTTGTTTCTTTTTTTTAACATGTTATACCTCAGTATTTTAATTATACTCAGCTGAATGTATCTGAATGCTCTCAGCATGCTTCATTATTTATATTAGTGGAAAAGCACATAAAATCAAATTGCATGCTGACATTCTATAATTTGTACTTGCATATCTCTAAAATAGATTTCTATAGATACAGCAACTATTCACAGTGGCTCAAGATATGCTGTGATTTTAAAATTTAACTGAATTTTAATGTACTCCAAAAATAAAATTTATGAGTTTTCACTAGAAAATGTCTTATCTGATTATTCATATTCTACAATTATTAACTGCTCCTATTCTGCATTTGATTGAATTGTAAAAAGGTGAATTTCTTCTCTTCTTACCCCAGGCATTAAGCTGTAATTTCTGCACATTTTCAGTTTTCCATATCTAAATTGGAAATTATGTTAGATCTACTGAAATATCAAGTATAAATAAAATATAAACCTTTTTTTAAATAGAAATGGACATTACCATTTAATTTAGTCAGGAACTGTATGGCCATGTCGCCTTTCTCACTGTAATTTTTTGTGTGTGTGGGTTATGTAGACACCCTTTATCAAAAAGTTGATTTAAACTCCTTCCTTTTTCATTTGAAATTAAGAGGCAGATGCCCCAGAAAGTATTATGAAAGCCTATGCTTTTATTTTTAGTACCTCTTCAGAGGACTCAGCTATGTTCTTGGGTTTGGCAAAATCATCTCTCCATCAGCGTGTCTCAGACTAGGATTCCCCAAATAGATGCTTTGGTTTGGTCTTTAGGCTTATTCTCAACATTTAAAAGGCAGATAAATAGTAGAGAACAACTGCCAAATGTGTTTCTTCTTTGAATAATCAGAGGCACAGATGACATTAGTATAAATTTCCTCCGTGATTAGAGTTTTCTCCACTGTGCCACACGTGATTTTGAGAGAAAGAAGAGAAATTGTCCATGGAGTTGAGGGTGGAAGAGAGAATATAGCAAGCCCTTAAAGAACAAGCAAGTCAGTGGAAGGCAGAATGAGAGCTACAAGGACTTTTCAGGTGGAGCCATTTCCTGAAGGAAGAGGAAAGCATATCGTGAATTTTAAAAAAACAACGCATATGTAAGTAAAGTATTATAATGGGGCTTGTGATTGGTTAAAATACAAAGCAAGTATGCCTGAGTGATGAGAAATAAGATCTAGCACCTGAGAATAGAAGGACCTTGCACAGGTGAAGATCCTGGCTGCATTTATTTAATTTCACAGGCAATGGGGAGCTCTTGAATATTTGTGTGCAGAGGGCTAGAGGTTGTCCGGGTTGTATAGCAGGAAAATGAATCTGGCAGTGTGTGTGGGATATTGGGTATATTACTGGAGATTGAGTAAACAATTTGGAGGCCATTAGAGCAACCCAGGAAATAGCTGATTCAATTTAAGTCCAATCTGGCAATTTAGTGAGTACCTAAATTGAGAAGGGCACAGTGCTAGACAGTGGGTAGGCACAAGTAATAAGACAGTCTTTGTGGCTCTTTGAAGTCACGGACCTATGATAGCCTTAGTAAGTGTTGGGAGAAGAAAGAAAGGAGATCTATCAGAAAGGAGGAAACAAGGGGAGAAGGAAACAGAAAAGGAAGGGCAAAAAGCAGGCAGAAAGGTTAAGATGGGACTGAAGAAGGCAAGGAAATAATTTAACCATAGATATATGGTTATATATATGGTATATATATACCATAGAAAATAGCAAATAAAAAAATCTGTATAACTATCTGCCAATAACTATAAAACTTTAAAGAATTGCACAATTTCATAACAAAAAATGATTAAAATTAATTCATTTGCCAGAGACCATCAGAGTATAGAAATATCTAGTTTCCTCTTCTTTCTGATGACACAGATATATATATGAGCAGAAAGGCTGTGCATTACTTACAGCGTGGTCCGTCTGACCTTCCCTCCACAGTTCTCCGTCCTCTTCCGCATGCTAGCATAATGGAGTAGATCTCCTGTTTCCTCCTTCCCTTGTTCCCTCTTTTCTGATAGATCTCCCTTCTTTCTTCTCCCAACACTTACTAAGTATATCATACATCTGTGACCTCCAGCCTTCTGCACACAAATATTCAAGAGCTCTCCATTGCCTGTCAAATTAAGTAGATGCAGCCAGGATCCTCACCTGTGCAAGGCCTACAGGAGGACTAATCCACAAAATGAAAGGAAGGTGGAACTGGAAATGCCTGAGTAAAACAAAATCCTTCCATCTCAACATGCTGTATGAGACAGTGGCTTGAATGATGATTACATGATTATTGTATTAAGCCATTTAAATATATTAGCCTACCCTTCCTGAAATGGAAAAACATGTTCAAGAACTACCAATCAAATAGATACTGATTTGATTGATATCATAAGTATGTTCTACCAATCATCTGAGAAACAGATAATTGCAGATAATAATTAAAGAACCTAGGTTTGGGGAAAATATCCTGACCGATTTTAGAAGTTGCAAAAACTTGACAATGTGTGTGTGTGTTTATGAAACAACCTAATTTATTAACATAGACGTATGTAAATGTAACATGTATAATTTTATACATAAAAGTTCCGAAATTATAATCTATAATTATGCAAAATTTATTCTGAGCAAGAAAGGATGATACAAAGTAAAAAACAGGTCTAATATATTTTATTACTCTAATTGGTAGACTAAGAACTACAATATTATCTTGCAGAACACTAAAGGGTATTAGATAAAAATCAAAATTCACTTCTAAACTTTAAAAAATCCTGTAAGTAAAATTAAAACAGAAAGTAATTAACATGAAAATATATATATAACTGATATCAGCAGCAAATATCACAATAGAGGCCTTCATATACTTTAAATTCTGTTATAAGGAGTGCTTCCTATCACTATTATTATTCTATAATGTTGTAAATTTTCCAGGGGAGTGGAAAGAAAAATAACACAAGAAAAAGTTAAAACCAAATTTCAATAATTTTAAGTAATATGATTGCTGACCTATACAATGTGAGATAATCAACTGAAAAATAGTTGGATTCACTATATGTTATGTGAAGATATTAGTGGCTTAAACAATAATATTAATACACCCTTCAGAAGTTTACTAAGGAACACACACACACACACACATACATGGGAAAATGAAGAGTCATACAAAGTTCTTGTTTAAAGATAGACATGGTTTTACCTCTCCCCAACTTAATTTTCTTATTAAGTTAAAATTCATTCAAAATTCTACTTGATTTAATATTGGGAGATAATAAAGTGATTAAAAATTTCATCAAGAAGAAAGAGCATGAAGTAATATCCAACATCATTTCTTAAAAGTAAAGTCTGCAATATATTGAAATTTGTTGCAACATATATTAAAACACATTGTAGTGTTTTAGTATCGGAAGTAATATGGTAAAGAGCTATTTCAAATAGAAAAAGGTGAGTTTTTCAATGATATCATTGACATAAACAGCTAATTGTTTATAAAAAGAAATAAAATAACATCCCTACCTCACACTTTTCACATGCAAATTTCTAGCTAGACGGCTATATAAATGTAAAAATGAATGAATCAATTAATAAAAATGGACTTATTCATATAAGAATGAGTATTTCTATAATATTTTGGGTGCAGAAAATAAGTAAAATAAGACATGACGGAACAACACTTTTTAATACTTCAAGTTTAAAAAATCATTAAAATGAAATGTAAAAATATTAAATGTATTTACAACACATATCAAGCAGCGATGATGTTAATACATTATTATGTTATTATAAAGATCTATTGCTGTATGATAAGATAAACAACAAATCAAAAGAACTGAAAAGGTTAAAAAATAGAAACAGACACTTCACAAAAGGCCTATGAACATGTAAAAACTGCACAAGTATAATCATAATGAAGTGAATGCAAATTACAACCAGAATACACTATTTTTCTCTATCAAGCTGGCAGAAACTATAAAAAGAGAACTGCCAGTGTTGTCAAGGGTTGGAGGAAAACAGAAATGCTTCCACAGTGCTGCAGGTGTATGAATTGGCACAACCTTCCTGAGCAGCCATATGCAAAGCATTTTAAAAAGGACTAAGAATGTGCAGACTTCTGATTAGTAATTTTTCACTTCAGGTAACTAGCAGCACAGATATAAGTAATAATTTACAAACAGTATCACACAGAGTTTTCTGGCAATGTTTTTTATAACAGCAACAACAGAAAAAGAAAAATCAATTAAATCTTCAAAGGTAACATCATGGTTGGCTAAATGTGCTCATAATATATATTTAGATTTAAAGGTATAGTTAACATATATCATAAGGTGGAGCAATCTCAATGTGTATCACAGACAGAGGGAGATGCATAAATTTAAGCTTCCACACACACATGATTACATGCATTAAACTGGAGTCATAATGGAAGGAAATAATTCCATGATCACTTCTGAGGAGTGGACTTAACAATTTTTTAAATTTCTTTGGCTTGCATCTATTTTATACTTTTTCTAAGATGCACCAAATAGAATTGCATTTAGAAAAACAAATATGTTATTTTAAGACACAAAGAAGCCCAGAAAAGATATTCTAGGAAAACAGTTATCATATTCTTCTCATATGGTAAAAATCCCTGACTTGGGTAATGGAAATATCAAATTCATTGATGGTCATGAATCTTCTTCTAACTAGGTCAAATTAGGTTATACTCTATGACAAATCTCTTCCTCTGTGTAAGCCTCAGTTTATTCCTTGGCAAAAGGAGAAGATTCAACTTTATGATTCCTGAAATCCCTTGAGATTTCATGATTACTAAAAGTATGTTGCACACACATGTGATTTATTTGCATTGTTTTAAACTCTCTAATTTTCTCCCTAATATATAAGCTACTGTGCCCTGATTCTATGCTGAGGGAAAAATTATACTTTCTCTTTTGTTATCAGAATAGAAGATCTGGTCAAGTAGGGGGATCTAAAACAAAATAAGTGAGTCCCATCTCCATTGCTCTGATCAGACAGTGAAGAGAAGAGTCACACAGGGACTGGAGGAATCTTTATGCCTGTGAATGGCTAGTGGAGAAGCTGCTGTGTCACAGGAGGAGAAAAGCAGAGAAGTGTATGGAGCCAGAAGAACTTGCAGCAACAGAAGTTGGGTGACCATATAATTAATCTCACAAACAGGGACTTCTGGAGAATTTAAGGAGTGTTTACTAAAAATTATTCTGAAACAATAGGTAAAATGAGACTGTCTCAGGAAAAATAGGACTTAAGATCACCCTAAATTTAAGTCCTGGAATTTGGGAGAAAAATATTCTTCTCCCTGAATAAAACCTAAGAAGAAAGAAAAGAAGTTACATTTAAGTGATAAAATCTGTCATTGAGGGACATTTGAGAGAGACTTGCTGGCCACCCTCATACAAACTGTAGATCTGTTAACTTTCCAATGATGTAAGACCTTCCCAGATTCACCTCCATACTCATATGGAGGCCTGCTGGCGGGAGTACAATTTACACTCCTAATAAAATTTTAAAGGACACAATGATTTGTTTATCATACCAACATAATTCCTTGGGTCACTAAACACATTCCTACATTTAACTATACTTGTAGAGTATCCAGCACACGACACTGAGTGACCAACCATTGTCATCTGAGGACAGGATATGAGACTTTCTGTGCTAAAACCAGGATAGTTCCTGGAAAACTGGGATGGTTGGTCACTCTACCAACAGATCAAAACCTCCCTCTGGTAAGGTACTCAGCTAATTTTCTCTCTATTCATTTCCATATTTTGATGTTTTTGTTCTCTAAATTGTGTCTAAATTGTGCAATAAATATTGTTGTGGACTGAATTGTGTCCTCCCAAAATTCATGTGATGAAGCCTATTTCCTAGTACCTTGAAATAGGACTATTTGGAGATAGAGTCTTTACAGAAGAAATTAAGGTGAAATAAAGCTGTTGGGGTGGGCCCTAATCCAAAATGAATAGTGGCCTTCTAAGAAGAGGAAGAGACACCAGAGATGCACAGGCACAGAGAAAAGACCATGTGAAAACCAGAAGAAGACAGCAATATGCAATCCAAGGAGAGAGGCTTTCAGAAGAAACCAGTCTGGTGATGCCTTGGTCTTGAACTCTTGCCCTCCAGAGCTGTGAGGAAATAAATTTCTGTTGCTAAAGTCCCCCCAGCATGAGGCACTTTGTTATGGCCTCCCTAGCAAACTAATAATAAGACATCACAAAAGTCATTTTGTCCTGAACCTCATTGCCTAAAAGACTTGAAAATCTAAATTCTCTAGAGGAATGATTTCATGGTGGTTGAAAATGTGGCAATCCATCTAGTTTCAACCTAATTTTTTCCAGTGATTTGTACTCTAGGAATAGCAATCCAGATTTTTCATAAGCCTTCAAATTGCATTTCATTTCTCCTTCATTAAGAAATCTGCATGATTTGCATTCTGTCCATCTGTCCAAGTTCATTTCATCTCTCTGAGGAGTTGACCTGTCTTTCTGCTTAGTACATATAATTGGTTTTGATGTCCATGTTAGATCAAGTTTAATTATCAGGTGGCCAATAGTCCCCATTGGCTTAGTTACTCCAAGTTTACTCATTTAGAATATATTGTTATTTAACAACACATCAGAACTGAAATTATTGCAGTTAGAGTCTGTCATTTAAGTCTTTAAATCATACCCACAGTACATTATAGTTTTGTTCACTAATTACTAAGTATATTATGAAAAAGCAAATTAACATTTTGAAAATAAGCATCCAGCATTACATTCATGAAAGTGGAAAAATACTTTTTTCCCTTCTCATTGGGAAGACTTTAAATTTAATCCTTTTTCTTACTTTAACATTTAAATTTCTTGTTGAAATACAAGCACAAGTTCTTGGTCTCAGTCGACTAGAGAATCACATAATTCACTGAAGAGCACTATTAGACCAACTAACTAGTGATCTGGTCTTATGTTAGTTTCAGTCTCTGCTTCAACAACTCTTCTCTGAAGTCTCCTAAGCAGATGGGGTTATCTTATTCCTAATATTACCCACTGTTCTCCTTCCCCTAGTTCACCATTTGTTATAATCTGAGACACTCCTGATTCTTTTTTGTTTTCTTTTTCATGAGAATATTCCCTGAAAGCATTATGGACATGGACAAATATTCTCTCATCTATCCAATGGTGCATCAGAGGCTCTCTTACTTAAATGTAATTCCCTCCCCACCCCCCGAAAAAAAATATTAAGAAGAAGAGTGTTGAACATTGTATAAACTGTTCTTTAAGATAGGATCAAAGATTGAATTCCTTCTCAGGATTGCTGAGACTGTACAGACCTGAAAGATTCTAACTGGTGCCTAGTGTAGCACCCGGCATACAGTAGGCCCTTGATAAATGTATTTTGAATCAACTAAGCTAATATTTTCAGAAAAAAAAAAAACACTCTAAGAAAACAATTTGGCAAGGAGAACCATCAAGGTTAGATGTTGCATATATTTTGAACTATTAAAATGGACATGAAGTATGAACAAGAGTCAGATGACATTGAGGAAGAAGCACATTTACCTTCCTAAGAATCCTGCAGGCAGCTACAAGTAAGTAGGTGCATAGCTTCTGAAATCTTGACAGTGCAGGCAACCAAATTCAAGAGATGCAGTTTCTTTATGATGTCTCCATTTATGGTTTAGCTCTGACAGAAGTTTCCCTCAAAAGATGGCACTGGCAGAATTCACCCCAATTGCCTCAGCCTGCCCCAGGGATGCACCTTTTGAGGCCTGCTTTGCAGACAATTGTGATGGTATGATCATTTTTTCTGGGGCAGGCTTAGTGGTATCATAGTCTTTTGAATTGGAAGCAGTAAGAGTGAAAAAATATAAATACAATTTAACTGTCAATCTCCTTGATCCCTTCAAGACAATATGCTTATTTTATGCAGGAGAACATTCATAATCACATGATATTGTTCTTTAAAATCAAAGGTTACGTTCTCCTTTGCATTTTCAAAAATATTTTACTCCATATTGCCTTAGAATCCTCTAATAGGATTTCCTATACTGTACTTTCAATTTGAGTTTTTAAATTTGTTTTTTTCTTAACTTTTTATATTTTTATATTTACTTATGAGGTAATTTTCATAATGCATCATTTATGCTACACTGAAAGATGGAATCAATGATCTTAAATAGAAATGAAAATGTTTCATGTTTCAAATTTGTTTTGGCTAATATTTTTATGACTATATTATTTTTATTTTTTGGACTTTTTTATTTTATGGACCATATTTATACCTAATTTTTCCTTAAAATTACTTGCCCATTTGAAAGACTTATTTTATTGGCATATGAGATTTCTCTTTTGCTGTCTCCTGAAGCCAGTAGACTTGCTAATGTTTACATATCTTTATTCCTCTTAGGATGGGTATCAGTTAGGGTTACATTTGGCTGCAAGTAAAACAGTCCCAGAAAACAACAGCTGACACAAGATGTCACTGATTTTTCTCTTAAATAAAAGAAGATAAGAAGTAATCCAGGATGAGCATAGCTGGCAGTATGTACTTAAACTGACTCCAGTGATGCACTAGGCTTTGGTATTTGTCCTGAGATCCAAGATGGACACCAGAGCTCAAGACCACATCCACAGCAGGACAGACAAAAATTGAAAGAACAGCCCACCATCTCCCTCTAAGGGGACCTTTAAGTCTCATGTAACATTTTTATTTATATCTTACACAACTTGGTCTCAGGACCACATCTACATTTAAGGAAATTCTGGAAATACAGTTTTTGGTAAACACATAGAAAAATCAACATTACCTTTCATGGAAAATCAGGAGAATAAATGTCAAGAGGAAATCAATGGTTTCTAAACATGGGGATTTAAAGAGATGCCTGTTGTAATTGCAAGGTCATGCTGAATTCCTAGGCTAATGGTAGCCGATGGAATCAGTATCAGTATAACAAAAGTAGGAAGATACATGCATAATAAGTATTTGCTGAATGAAAAACACAAATGATGGAGTAATGTGTTTCTGATGTAACTTAAATGGATGGCAAATATTTGACTTCACTCTGCTCTGTTTCAAGAACTTCCTGCCTATCCCTCAGCCTGTGTTGTTAAATGCCAGGAAGTCTGGTTGAAATTTGACTGGAATAGGGATCAATAGTTGTCAGCCTGGTCATAGTTTGCGCCTACTCACTAAGTGACCTTGAATTATTTGCTTTTATTGAGACTGGGTTTCCCCATTTACAAAATAGGCATAAAATACATTTTTATTGATTAACTCATTTATTCAACAGATATTTATTGATTAGTTTTTAGGTACTAGCCCTAGTGCTAGATAATAGGAAGGTAACCAAAACACAGTGCATGCTCTCCCAGAGTTTAGCAGAGAAGATAGACTGAAAATAATCTCCAAATTAATGTATTTTTACAAATGATTATAAAGTAAATGCAGGGTGGTATAAAATCTAATGGAAGTCCCTTACTTAATTCACAAGACTTGTGTAAGAGCAATATGCAATGTTCATCATTATGTTGCCTGACAGTTAATGAGTGCTCAATGTGTGTTAGTGCCTTCCCCATCCTCCTTAAGTCAGAGAAGTAAAAACATGCACAGCTGAATAAAGTACAGCATCATCTCTATGGTAGTAAGTTCTGACCATGTTTTACTGCAGTCAATCAGATTCAATGCATGCAGGTGAAAGATTGAGCCTGTTTGGAGAAAGGTGAGTCAAGGAAGATTTGATATAAGATGTCACATTTAAACCAGATCTGTTAGAATAAAGACAGGCAACAGGCTGGGCACAGTGGTTCACTCCTATCATCTTAGCACTTTGGAAGGCCAAGGCGGGAGAATCACTTGAGCCCAGGAGTTTGAGACCAGCCTGGACAACATAGTGAGACCCTGTCTTTACAGAAAAAAATTATTTTAATTAGCCAGACATGGTGGCACACACTTATGGTATCAGCTGCTCTAAAGGCTGAAATGAGAGGATTGTTTGAGCTTAGGAAGTCAAGGCTTTAGTGAGTTGTGATCACACCACTGCACTCCAGCCTGGGCAACAGAACGAGACCCTGTCTCAAAAAAAAAATTAAAAAAAAAAAAAAAGATAATAATGGATGCTGGTGAGGAGGCAGAGAAAGGGGAGCCCTTATACTCTACTGGTGGGAATGTAAATTAGTACAGCCACTATGGAAAAATCTAAAAATAAATCTATCATATGATCCAGAAATCTCATTGCTGGGTAGATATCCAAAAAAAAAAAAAAAAAAAAAACAGTACCTCAAAAAAAATTCCTGCCCTCCCATGTTTACTGCAGCACTATTCATAATAGCAAAGACATGGAATCAACTTGTGACCATCAACAAATGGATGGATGAAGAAAATGTGGTATCTTTTGGAATATATCACCACGGAATACTACTAAGCCATAATACAATGAAATTTTGGCATTTACAACAATATGGATACAACTGGGGGATATTACATTAAGTGAAATAGGACAGTTGCGGAAAGTCAAATATCACATCTTCTCATTCATATGTGGGAGCTTAAGGATAATTGAACTTGTGGAGTTAGAGAGTAGAGTGATGGCTACCAGTGATTGGGAAGGGAAGTAGGGAGAGTGGATAAAGAGAATATGGTTAATAGGTACAAACATACAATTAGATAGAAGGAATAAGATCTAGTGTGGCAGCACAATAGAGTGACTATGGTTAAAAGTAATTTATTGTATATCTCAAAATAACTGAAAGAGTAGAATTGAAATGTTGCTAACACAAAGAAATGGTAAATGCTTGAAGTGATGAATATTCCAATTACCCTGAGTTGATGCGTTGTTAGCTTATATCAAAATATCTCATGCATCCCATAAATAAGTGCAACTACTATGTATCCACAATAATTAAAAACAAAAAAATTAAAATAGAATAATGAGGATTAAACCAAGAAGGGAAGTAGAGGAATTTTCGAGAGAGGGAATAGACTGAGATATGTTGATTCTCAGGTGTACTGGGCTTCCACACAAATGGGAAGCCCATTTCATTTGTTCTCCTTCAGTTTTCTAAACCTCAGTTTTCTATACCCCCTTCACTCCTTAATGTGCTTCCTTTTCACCCATTAAGAACGTAAATCCTTCGAATTGTCCTTCCCTGTCCCTTTTAGGAAAAAAAGATAAATCCATTCACTCTGGGAAGTACATAATATGCCAACTTGAAAACTCTTTAATGGAACAATATAATAAAATTTATAAAATCCAAACAAACAGCCTACCAAAGCCAATGTTATTTTGAAACTAAATGCTAAAAACTTCAAACCAATTATAAGCTAAAAATCAGTGTTTCATTTATATATTCTCTCTTGAAAGCATTGCAAATCTTGTCTTCTTTAAAGCAAAATACAAGCAATATATATCAACTAAATAAAAACTACATAGTTCAATTACAGTTACAGAACCTCATAAATGTTGAAACTATTTCCTAAAATGATTGAACCTAATCTCATGCCACTAAATTAAGTAGTTTTGGAAAATGAGTGTGTGGGTGTGTATTATTTTTTGATAATAATTTACTAAAATTAAGGTTTTTGTCTAGTGCACCAATTTTGTAAGGAAAAAGAAGGATGAAAAGCATACATAAAAATGAGGACATCATACACCCAGGTATAATACGGTAGCCTAAATAAATAGGTATAAAAGAAAAAGCAATATAAAATCACAGTACCTAAATGAAAGGAGTAAAGTCAAAAAAAATCAGGAATGGGTTTGAAATTGAATGCCATTGGAATTGTGTTGGAAGCCAAACACTATTATTCAAAACAAAATTAAAATTCCAAATCATGTTCCGTCAAGATTAAAGAGTAGGTGAAGCTCTTAACGTTGGAATATAAGTCAGCAACAAAAAGGAGGAAGAGATATTTGGAAAGCAATGGGGCTTTGTGCCCCCCAAAATATGTTAACATTGATAAAAATCTTCTTCCCCCATGAGGCTTTGAGGAGTAGCACCCTGTAATCCCTGACTGCACCGTTGCTCATATTCTGCTTTGGGTTTTAAAAAGGTGTCCCATAGCATCAGCTGAATGCATGTATGGCCCAGACTAGATCAGACACCAGGGAACCTAGGTCATGTAGCCAGGTCATCTAACCTCCTCTTATGTATATCCCACTGTATCATTCCTAGGACTTGTTCAGCGCTACTTCAAGTGATGCCTAGGATTTTGAATTGGTGCCACTTGA